TTGATGGAAAAATATATGATATAATAATGATATGATATAATAGAAGAACACATTATATAACTTAAAAACTGGATTTCTGGTTCCAGCTTTTCCATTAATCAGCTGCATGACTTGCAGTAAGTCAAATAGCTTGTCTGGATTTTATTTCTATTAGTAAAATTGGGAAGCTTGAACCAAAAGTACTCTAAAGTTTCTTCTTGCCCTAATACTTTATATTTGAGGGATTAACAGATTACTATGTTCATTGAATTGCCAAGAATGTCAAATAGAGGTGACCAGCATCAGTTATGGAGGGAGTAAAACAAGGGCCTTATATAAGTAAGTCATGCTGCCGTGGGGAGTTTTGTGAGCATGCTGCCGTGGGGAGTTTTGTGAGCTTATAAGGGCTTTATAGGAAAGCCACAAAGATGAGATAATAAAATAGGAAATTGAAGACTGTGATAGATAGATAAATAAATATATTAAGGAACTGATGTTGTTGGTTCAAGAGAAATATGACAAATAGCCTAAGAATAGTTAAAGGATTTTCCATTCTGCAACAATTGTGTTTAGCCTACTACGTGCCAGACACTGTTCTTATCAAGAATCTGAGGATGAGATGAGTTGATGTTGGAATAAGCTGTAGCCAATGCTCCTTTTAGGAAGGCACAATTCTCCATCAGGGTAAGACGTACTAGACTCGGTTAGGTAGGGTGCTTAGGAGATCTCCTATAGTCTTTGGAGATGACAGTCCCTGTGTTTCAGATGGTTTAGGAAACATCTTGCCTAATTGCCCTGTTTCCTAAGTACTCTTTGATCTGCCCTCCCAAACTGAATCCTTGATTTCTTTTCCACTGTTGCTGGCTTTGTTACCTAAAGAGTCTGAGATAAAACTTTCACTATAGGGCTTCCCTGGTGGCGCAGTAGTTGAGAGTCCGCCTGCTGATGCAGGGGACGCGGGTTCGTGCCCCGGTCCGGGAAGATCCCACATGCTGCGGAGCGGCTGGGCCCGTGAGCCGTGGCCGCTGAGCCTGCGCGTCCAGAGCCTGTGCTCCGCAACGGGAGAGGCCACAGCAGTGAGAGGCCCACGTACCGCAAAAAAAACCCCAAAAAACATTCACTATATGCTCCATTCCACCCCCACACTCAATTAAAATATTCTAGAGTTTAGGGTGATGGGGATGTCAGTGTGCCAGAATAAGTAAGATAGAATAGGATATTAGCCTTCCCTGGGTTATGCTTTCTAAGTGTAGTATCATTAAAAGCCAAAAGTTCCCAGAACAAACATTTTCAAACATTAAGCCCCCAAAAAGCTAGCTGTGGTCTTTGTGTTCCATGATGCCCTGATGATGAATCAGTCTTCTGTTTATTGTAGTTTCCAAACCTCTTAAAATGGGCTCCAGGGTTGCCTCTACCACCTTGCCCTTAATTCAGCATGGCAATGAATAGTGCTCCGGAGAGGTTCATGGTGTAGAAGTGTTTTTGAGGTAGCCCATTGTTTTGGATTTTCTGTGACATTTCTTCCATTATTTGGATAAGTAAGAGTTATCCATGATTTCAGTGATTTTTCTCTCTTATATTTTCACCAGAGTAAAAACTGAGTACAGTAACACTTTTACTTTTGTTTATGTATTATTGCAGAAGCAAAACTGCAGAGTTTTTATATGACTTGCTTTTATGCTATCAGAATCAGCCATGGATTTATAGAGCCAAGGTCTCAAAATATGCTGTCTGGGCTTCCCTGGTGGCACAGTGATTGAGAGTCCGCCTGCCGATGCAGGGGACACGGGTTCGTGCCCCGGTCCGGGAAGATCCCACATGCCGCGGAGCGGCTGGGCCCGTGAGCCGTGGCCGCTGAGCCTGCGCGTCCAGAGCCTGTGCTCCGCAACGGGAGAGGCCACAACAGTGAGAGGCCCGCGTACCGCAAAAAAAAAAAAAAAAAAAAATGCTGTCTTACCCATAGTAAGAGCTTACCCATATCTTACTACAAAAGAAATATGCTGTCTTACCTATGGTATTAGCTACACATGCCCTATATCTTTACTAAAGCATCCTACTTAAACTTCATTTAATTTAAGCCTTTTAAAATTTGAAACAGCAGACTTCGTTTACTCTTATAAAGCAGCAATTTACAGTCTCATAAATGGGAATCTGTCTAAAACCTTCCTACTCAAAACGTGGTCCATGGACTAGCGGCTTATGCATCACCTGGGAGACGTTAGAAATGCAGGCTTGCAGTCCTCCTCCCCCTCCCTATTGAATCAAAATCTGCATTTTGCCCAGGAAAACCAGGTAATTCATGCACATGTTAGGTTTGAGAAGCACTGGGTTTAAATCTGTAAATAACACTATATCCAGGTGAGATTGGTTCAAAGTTGGCAGAATTGTAAATTATATTTACCTTTGATCTGGAGAAAAGGTAAACCCAACAAGTATGAATGACTTGTGTAGTCTGAAAATATTTATAAATAATAAATGTGTGAAAATTATATGAAAAATGTGAGAAGTTAGACATACTGGCGATAAATAAGATAAACATTATCCCAGAAAGTGCAAATTAAATGTATGTTCACAAAGTAGTTTGTAATACATAGTATTTGGGGAAATTGAACATGGAAACCATCATGATATTGTGACGTAAGGGGTGATAAGTAGACAGAAAGCCAGAAATGAATCAGAGATAGGTCACAGTGGTCACTGTTCCACTGCTAGTTTGATTCCTTAGAAATTTTCTTAGAGGCAGAGTCTAGTTGTGGCTTGTATATCTTTTATACAGTAAGTGACACTGTTTGCTAGAAAGATAAAGGTAAATCAGAGAGTGTTAAGAGATGGGCTAGAAGATTGATTAGGGCATAGGAAGAACTGATTTATGAGGAAGGAGAAAAGTAATTAAATGGGCAGCACTGTGCTATAAAAAGAGGCTATAGAGACATGAATGTTTATTTGCTCTTTCTCCAGTGTTGTTTTCCTGTAGTATCCATATGCAAGATGCAGAAACATTAGGATATCAGGATGCTAAGAAATTCGTTACAAAACAAAGCAGTACCATCTGGAATTACTCAAATTAGGAGCAATATGAAAGATTAAGTTTCAGAAAATTTTACCTTGTGCATAAGGAGTAACCTTGAGTTATCCCTGAAAACTTTTGAAAGCTCTATGGGCAAAGAATGGAAAATCATTTATTAAGTTGTAGAATTCTAATTGGAACCCATCTCTTGAAACTTCTAAAATTAGGGTGGAGAAAAACCAGGATGTTGCCTGTGGGAAAACTCTCCACTTCCAGCAGAGACTTGGTGATTGATGAGTGACATTTTTCTTCTGCACTATCTTTGATTATTACTGTGTTACCATACACAGGTAATTTTTTTTTCATCAGGTTAGTATCTTATTTAAATAAAAAATACTAGTTTCTAGAAAAACAGCCATAGAGTGTCACTCATCTGCCCTACATTGTGTCTGCCTCCGTGGCATCCATAGGCTACCTGGTAACCAGTGACATTCTTTTTCCATTTCTCTTCACTCATTATTCATTTAGAGATGCAATTCAGTATATATTGGAAGCAGATTCACTTGCTACATACTCTTCATCTGGAAAACTAAAAAGACATGCCCAAAATATGCCTTGCCTTTTAGAGCCATTTGTCAAATGGATATAGAAACTCTGAAAGCCTGAAATCATCTAATGCTTCAGACGGTTTAGTGATCCTTTTCACAAGGATGAAAACCCAGCTCACGTTTGTCAAGGAGTAATGGTCTGAGGGCACTACATTTCTTTCTGTCTTCTCTGTAGACATTTTTCCCAGTGCAATGAATCAGCTGAAAAAGGAAGTCCAGAACCCCAATTCCACTGGTCAGAAAGCAAGTAAAACACAGCAGAATTATTCAGTATTTTCTTTACTTTTTTTATGCTAATTGCTTCAGGTCCACATTTATATTGCTTAGGAGATCTAGTTTAATATAGGTACTGCTAAGAATAAATTCTATCAAATATGTTGACTGGAGATATTAGATATACCTCTCTATGCTGATGTGTGGAAAACTTTGCCAAACTTAAGTCAATTAATTAAATTACTTCAGGTGCTCCATAACATGAATTGTATTTTTGTTGATATTATTTTCTAAACTACTATTCAATTTTGTTATTTATGACTTAATGCACCTGCTTTAGTTTTAAGACATTCTATTTGTCTATAGCCGAAAGTTCTTACCCCTTTCCTTCTTGAAAGAGATCTAGACCTAATCAAAAAGCTTAGGATTACATTCTGCTCTTGTGTCCATAATACAAAGATAATCTCCTCTGTATCCTGTTTTTATGAAAATGGCTCTAACAAATTGCCCGTATCTTACACATACAAACAACAACTGTTTTCAAGATGAAAACTAGTTGAGAAAAAATAAAATAAATTGATAGGTTGCAATCTTTCTTTTTCTTCTCTTGCTTCTTGATATACCTACAAAAGTTGCAGGGGGGGAAAAGAAGTCCTTTTTCTTTCTAAATCTTGCTACTAGTGTCGTATTGATTTTCTCTCAAGTGCATCCTGTGGTCTCAGATGATCACATATTTTCTCACATTACTCATATTGATACAGCACCTTGACTCACAGGTTGACATATGTTGCTTGAACTGATGACATGGCTCACCGTTGACATATCCTGGTGGTGGGGCGAACCAAGCCTCTTATGCATGAAACCTAAGGGAACAGGCTGTTTCACGACCGTATTCTCATTCTTTGAAAAGTAACTGTTGTTCACCTCAAGTGATCCTTTAAGTCTTATCCGTGTTGCTTAACATTGTTCTAATCTCTCCAACAGTGTTTTGAGTTCTTTTGTGTCTCTGCTGATGCGGAAAGGAAAAAAAAATCCCTCAACTGGGTATAACAATGTTTGAGTGTTCCATGGTTCGTAAGAAAAAATAAAAGTGTTAAGAGTCTGAAGGGATACATGGCAGCCGGCCTCTGTGCCACGTTGCTTTGGCTTCTTCTTACCTTCGTGCTCTCTCCACCTCCCTGCCTCTGTTTCAGCTAGCTGTGAGGTGGCTGGAACACAGCTGCCATTACCAGTACATGGATGAGCTCCTGCAGTACATCCGCTTTGGCCTGATGGACGTGGACACCCTCCATACAGTTGCCCTGTCCCACCCCCTCGTCCAGGCAAGTGAAACCGCAACAGCTCTTGTCAACGAGGCCCTGGAGTACCACCAGAGCATCTACGCACAGCCCGTGTGGCAGACTCGCAGGACCAAACCGCGCTTCCAGTCAGATACTCTGTACATCATTGGTGGGAAGAAGCGTGAGGTCTGTAGAGTCAAGGAACTTAGGTACTTCAATCCCGTGGATCAGGAGAATGCCCTCATAGCTGCCATTGCCAACTGGAGTGAGCTGGCTCCCATGCCCGTGGGAAGGAGCCACCATTGTGTGGCAGTCATGGGGGACTTCCTGTTTGTAGCAGGAGGGGAAGTCGAGCACGCCAGCGGCCGGACGTGTGCCGTGAGGACTGCCTGTCGCTATGACCCCCGCAGTAATTCCTGGGCAGAGATAGCACCCATGAAGAACTGCCGGGAGCATTTCGTTCTGGGAGCCATGGATGAGTACCTCTATGCAGCTGGGGGCAGAAATGAACTGCGCCAGGTTCTGCCGACCGTTGAGCGATATTGCCCCAAGAAGAACAAGTGGACTTTCGTCCAGCCCTTTGACCGGTCCCTCTCCTGTCACGCTGGCTACGTGGCTGACGGTCTTCTTTGGATATCAGGTAGAACATGCCTCATACGTTGGATTTATTACAAAACACTTTCACTGTGGCATAAATTGACAAGTCAGGCTTTGGTAGTGGTGGCCACGTGTATCTGAACGATTCGGCCAAGGGTGCCATTTAAGCTAATTAACAGTCATTTACTGAGCACCATTCTGTAGAGAGCAGTGTATGGGGGAGTAATTGACCTTTCTGTGGCTTTCTGAGTGATGAGTGGAGTAAAATTTCAAGATGGAAATGAATGGCCAATCACATCTCTTTTCCTACCAAACCTTCTATTGTTTAGATTGTCAGTTTTTGATATTCATGGACTGTATTGCACACCTTGTGGTTTATCCAGGTCCTTGGCTTTTCCTTTCACCCTGGGCTGCCTGACTAGGAGCCAGTCTTTCAAAGACAGGGCAGGCGAAGTAAAAGCCCAGTTAATCCATTTGGATGAGTAAAGCAATGGGAATAGATCCAGGTAGGAGCCATGCTGTGCATTGAGGGAAGGGATTTAAGTTATTGGCTAAAATAATGTTTTTCTGTTATCTGCGAATTGTAGTTACTCATGCCATCCCAATCCTTTATTCCTGTTTACTCTCCCATTCTTCCTGATTATTTGGGGGTTCTGATTATTTTAGTTTACTTGTTTTTGTCTTTGGTTTTGTTTGAAGCCTTTTGATTATGAAAAAAGGAGAGAGACTAGTATAATGAATCCCATGTGCCCATAACCCAGCTTCAGCAGTTATCTACTCGTTGCCAATCTTGTTTCACTCACACCCACATGCTTCTTCCAACCCCTCATAGCTGACTTTTCACTGGCACAGAGGATCCTGTGAGGCATGTGTTATTGACATCACATTATCACCTTGTGTTTCCAATCCTATTATTGGAAAGTCCTCAAATGTCCTCCTTTGAAAGGTTTGCCTATTAGGGAAGAAAGTTGCATCTTCTCTCAGCTGGAGGATACTCATTTTGTGACCCAGATGGATCTCGCTGCATTTCCATGTGAAGGACAAAGAGGAATAGAAAAATCAAACAACTTAATTACCAAGAGTAACTTTGAGATGTTTGTACTCAGACGAAACAATCACTTTTAAGTATACTTATGAAGACTTCTAAGCTTCCTTGAATAATCTTCTCTAGTTTAACATCTGCTCTGACAAAATTCCCCCTTGCACTTAAAGTAAATTCACTGGACTCTGCCCATGTTTCCTTCTGCTCTCCTCAATAACCAGGGATACAGCTGTAGTCTTGGCTGCTCTGGGCAGTGCCTCAATTATTGGCAATTCACTGATTTTTATTGAAGAAACCTAGCTCATGTCTGGGTTTAAGTGCTCAGTAATTAATGAATGAAGTTAAGGTTGGGACCAAGAAAGAGGATAAGTGAGGTGTATCCAACAATTGCTGGTCCTGTATACCAAATACACATTAGATATGAGTGTGTATGTTAATATATGTAGATATATTTAGATAAAGACCTCATTTATCTGGTGACTTATTCCTTTTTCTTTAAGTATATATTTCAGTATTTAAGAAAAAAGCCACCAGGACTGTATCCTGTTAGATTTGTTGAAGAAACCTTAAACTTGGCTGCAAATAAATCCTTGCTATTAGAAGGAACAGATCTGTACTTGACTTAGATAACAAAACAGTGATGGATTTATGAAATCAGTATAATTTATATTTTATTCCAACTTACATCCCTTCCTTTGACTCATTTAGTTTTCATATATTGCTAAGGTACTGCACTCCTAAATTTTGCACTGCATTTTCTAAATTTTGTATATGTTTCTCATAATTAGTTTAATAATTATTCCTTACTTACTTTTATTTTTGGGCTATAAAACTAGCTTTTAAAAAAAGTGCTGGAGTTTCCCTTGCATAGACTTCAAAATACGACTACTTAATACCTTCTTTAGTGAGGCCTAAAGAAAGCACTGAAACTTATGTTAGCCTGGCTAGATCTATCAACCTGGTATCAAGCTGACTTCTCTTTCCATATGGGTCTGTATGTTTCCTTTTCCATTGTATTAAGGGTATCAACTTATTACAGTCCATACTGCTGTATCACTTTGTTTTTCCCCTACTATGAAAGGAAATACATTTCCTTTGTTCTTCTTTTGCACTAATATATGCTGCCTGTGTTAACCATACTTAATGAAAACAATCACAATTTTCTTAGGTTTGTTTCTCCCTACTGTGTACTTGAGATGAAAAACTCACTTCCCTGTGTACGGTACAATACCTTTAATTGGAAAGAAGAGGAAATCACCAGTGACATTTCTAATACCTTCAGTCGTCTGCCTCTTTCCTCAGGCTCAGCTTACAATAAATCAATTGTGAATCTAACCAGGGATAGGGAGGGGTTGCTATGGGCTCCTTAAAAAAAAAAGACAGGTATATTTCACCCTGACTATCTCTGATTTAGAAGTGTTACCCTGATTTTTTTTTGGAGCAGAAGAAAATGTTTGAGGCTATTCCTTATTCTTTACCAAATAATTAAATATTTCCAGTTTAATTGATGGGGGATTGGGTCATTGGCATCCTTCTGGTATTTTGTAAGCTTTGCCTGAGGTGAAGGTAGTAAGGATTATAGGATGTGGATTTGGGGAGCTTATTTCTGTTCCACAGAACACAAAATGAATGTTTCTTTAGGGACTCGATATTTCCAGTGTGCTCCCTCTCTATACATACCCTCTCCCCCTCACTGTCCATTTTAGGGTCAGGATACCTGGAAACCTGTCCGTGGTTTTAAAAAGGAGACAGGCAAAGATGAATTCAGAAAACTGGGCTGTATAGATATGCCCATTAGCATGTAATTTAAGATGTTAGAGATAGTCAGACTTTACAGGCTCCTCTAGCATTTGACATCGTGACCCAATTCACAAATGCTCCACATCGTTTCTACTTGAAATTCACAATACTGAAGTAAAATAAGCATTAAATATCCTGCCGTTGTGCTTTGAAAGGTATGCGCTCTATTGTAAGATATTGTTTGTGAACTACTAAAAAGATCCTTTTTTTGTGAGTGAAAATGAATCCTGAGCTCATCTTGCAGAATAACTTACCTTTTCATTTTTGTCAAATGGCAGCAGGATAATGGGAAACTAACTACAAAATCAGTGCTTTAAAACTGCAATAATAAGACAAATGGTACTGCATTTCCTCAAAAGTGGCACTTAGTGTTTTCTTGATTCTCTTGGTGAATGGTACATCTTTATTAAAGTCAGTGCTGGTTCATAGATAAATAAGAATAATTCAGCAAACACACTTCCTGCCCTCTAGGAGCTGACAATCAAAGAGTTTTTCAGGGGCTTCCCTGGTGGTGCAGTGGTTGAGAGTCCGCCTGCTGATGCAGGGGACACGGGTTCGTGCCCCGGTCTGGGAAGATCCCACATGCCGCGGAGCGGCTGGACCCGTGAGCCATGGCCGCTGAGCCTGCGCGTCCGGAGCCTGTGCTCCGCAACGGGAGAGGCCACAACAGTGAGAGGCCTGCGTACCGCAAAAAAAAGAGGTTTTCAGGTATTTCACTAATGAAAGAACATTTGTTAGGGCTTCTATAACTCCCTAGAAGATATATTTATTTTCATCTTGATTAAATTTAGATGAAGTTTGCGTTGCCCCATTTTAAGTAACTTTAATTTATTCAGACCTACTAAAGGGACTTTACAATTACAACAGTATAAAGCATCATTAACATTTTAAAAATGCCATAGCTGTAACTTTACTGTGCAAATATCATTTTACTTGCATCTTAAAAAATTGTATACAACGTATTAGGAACTAATGGGGGCATGGCAGAGGCTGACTGTGGTGCTCTGAGGTCACAGATTGAGGGCACATGCAAGTGTGAAATTGGCTCCACTTTGACCAACCAGGAGATGCTCAGCAACTTTCCTCACCTCCCTGAGTCTTGTTCCAGGCTAGTGCGGGAGCCACAAAGACAGGTCCCACGCCGGGGCTTATAGTTTTTTTTTTTTTAAATAAATTTATTTATTTATGGCTGTGTTGGGTCTTCGTTGCTGCACGTGGACTTTCTCTAATTGCAGCTAGCAGGGGCTACTCTTCGTCACGGTGCATGGGCTTCTTGTTGTGGTGGCTTATCTTGCTGCGGAGCACGGGCTCTAGGCATGCAGGCTTCAGTAGTTGTGGCTCACGGGCTTAGTAGTTGTGGCACGTGGGCTCTAGAGCGCAGGCTCAGTAGTTGTGGCACACGGGCTTAGTTGCTCCACAACATGTGGGATCTTCCCGGACCAGGGCTTGAACCTGTGTCCCCTGCATTGGCAGGCAGATTCTTAACCACTGCGCCACCAGGGTAGTCCGGGCTCACAGTTTTTAAATGGATGACACAGTAAAGTGTGTGGTGTGTGTGGGTGTGATGATAGACAGCTTTACAAGGTACAGAAGTAGTGTGAAGCAGGAAGTAATCAGTGCGGGGGCACGAGAGGCTTCACAGAAGTTTCTGGCACCTTCAGCCTCCCTTGGCCTCAGGTCCATTGGCTGATTCCCACTTGCCCATTTACCCCTCCCTGTGCTCAGGCTTGGGCTTCATGGTGCAGCTGTTTCAATAACTCTCTTGCCCTCTGGCAGGCACACACTGTTGGGCAAACCCAATGGTCTGCTTTGTGCCTGTACCCGGGCAGCTGAGTCCAGTGGGAGGAGGCCAGCTGACAGGGGGCTTGCCACATGTATCCACTCAGCCCCCAAACCCTGTCTACATCCTGCCACTAGGGTCTCACCCACTCTCCTTCACCAGCTGTAATGCCCTCACTCTCCTCAAACTCAGAGATAGAACCTTGCCTCCTGTTTCTCAGAACAAATGGACGTGAGGAGTTTCTGGCAGCAAATCAGGTGCGATGAGAAGGCGGTGGAGAGTATGAGGACACAGAGGGGCCAGAGGTGGTGTGCAAAGGGGCAGAAGGTGGGGAAACACTAGCCAGGAGGGCGCAGAGGAGGGGGAGCTAAGGAAGGAGCTGAGAATGTGCGATGGGCAAGGCCAGAGGAGGAGGCATGGT